GCTACGAACCCTTCTAGGGAGCACTGTAGATAAGTTTCAGAAGATGCCAATAAAACAAGGTCATCTACAAACAGCAACCTTCTCGTCTACGCATCTCCTACACCGATACACTCATCGCCTTAGCTGCTCCTGATAATTCTATCCATGTAGAACATACAAAGGAGACGGGGCAAGACGCCGCCTTGGCGGAGACCAGGCCTATGTTGAAAGGTTTTGACGTAACGCCATTTGCTCTGACGGATCACCTACTATCAGAATTCAGTGATCGGATGGCCTCTAGCAGTTGGCCATATATCCAATATGCTCACAGGCATCACCGCAGATTGTTGCATTGGATCCGGTTATGGGCCTTTTCAGCTCAACAAAGTACGTTACAACGGACGGGCGTGCTCCCACGATTTCTGAACATCTGACGCAGGCCAAATATACGGTCAGAGATGCTTCGAACAGGCCTGAAGCCACACTGCTCTTATTGTTTCTTGGAATAAGGCATTCCGCGGCCCCTACTTTCTAGCAACTTTTCGTAGACTTTACCTTGGGGACTTAACAAAGTAATGCCCCTACAACTGGAGCACTCCTTGTGGTCTCCGTTCCATGAGAGCAGCCTTTGCATTTTCCATGTTTTTCACAGCTTGTGTAATTTCATCTACAGAGATGGTAATATACGTTCCTTGCTGCTCTACAGGCCAGTTATCCTCCGGTTACTCTGGGTTAAGGTGCTCCTCAATGCTCTCTCTCCATCGCCGAAGAATGTCATCATCCTTGATAAGAGGGTGTCCAGACCTGTCCTTCAAGCCTCTTAGACTACCCTTCTTTTCACTTTGGAGCCGGCGGATGGTCTGCCAAAATACCTTGTTTGCCTTGTGGAAATTCGACTCTAACACCACACCGAATTTATCACAGTAATCGGCTCTGGCTTTCGCCACTAATCTCGCTGCCGCCTTGAATACCTCGACATATCGCACGCGAGTATAAGACTTTGTTTCCTAGCAATTTCTTGAACGCTGTGTTCTTCTCTTTAACTGCCTGCTGCACATCTGGTGTCCAATGGGAAGGTATTTTCTGATCTCCATAGGAAGGCCAACGCCTTTCCTTCCGCAGCATTCTGTGATAGCCTCCAGTCCGCCGCTCTTAAAGAGCTGACAGTGGGTTTCCGCATTAGTGGTCATCATTAGGGGATCTGTTCAAACCGTCGTGAGACGTTGCTGGCAAATTTCGCCGTCATGTCCACCCAAGATGATGCTTCCCATTTAATTTTCCGGTTGCTTCTGCCACCAGATTTTCGTATGGTTCTCGGTTTCTCACAGGGCCACGTGCCAACAACGAGGTGGTGATCAGTTGATTGCTCTGCGCCCCTGTTAAAGCGAACATCCATTACTAGAGGTCTTAAGTCAGATGACACGATTTTCAAATACAGGCTACCCGTCATCAAGTGTACTGTTTCCCTATTCGATGCTCGAAGAAGGTAATCATAAGCGATAGCCCGTTGTTTGTTCAAAACTGCAACAACTTCATGCAGTCATTGTTGAGGTCGATTGGGCCGAATTTTCCAATCAAAGCGTTCGACTTTCAGCCTCTACTCCGACATGCTCATTTAAACTGCCCATGAGTAC